CCGATCCGATTCCGATCATTTGATTTTGACAATTAGCCGATACCGATTTTTCCCGATCCGATCTTTATGCAATGCATTAAGAGAAAAAAAAGAAAAAAAAGCATTCAAGTTGTCCCTTAAGGTTATTTTTTTATTTGAACTGGATATTCTATCCAACATGGATATAGCTTCTTTCTTTCACAGCAGCATTGGATCAGTTCAGTTGTGCAGCATTGGATCAAAACAAAATAAAGCTTTCAGTACTCGTTAGCTTACTGCTACAATTAGACACTGCGCCCACTCTGTTGCCAGATTTGAGAGAAATAAGCAACCAGGTCTATGAAAACAAGCCCCAAAGAAGCAACACATACATGATGTTCTGTCATTTGAAACCAAAACTAAGGCCTCAGGATGACTTTAAGACTTGAACATGGTCATTTTTGTTTTGTAACATTGAATTAAAAAATAAAAAAAGTATTTAAAAAAAAAAAAAAAAATCCCGATCCCCGATTTTTTTCTCTCGATTCCGATCTTTTGAAAATCACGTGATCGGCTCCAATCCCCGATCACGTGATTGGATCAGGACATCTCTAAATCTCAGAGTATAGTTACATTTCTTCCGATCCCACATTTCAAGGTCTTTCTGTATGACGTTATAACATGAGAGAATATTCAAATGTCTTCGTCCTGAAGCGGCATCGACCTGTTAGAGATGATGTCTCTCATTTCCCTGCTTCCTTCCTGTTTCAGTACGAGGAGACGGCGGTGAGTCCGACCCAGAAGGTGGACTCCTCTGACGTGCAGCAGTTCTACGATCTGCTCACTTCCTGCACGGAGGTGGTGAGGGTTTGGGCTCAGAACATCCCGGGTTTCTCAGAGTTCTGCCTCGAGGACCGGGAGCTGCTGCTCGAGTCGGCCTTCGTCGAACTCTTCATCCTGAGGCTGGCCTATCGGTGAGAGCATGTTCATCGTGTCATATTCCTGATGCTCTGGATAGATATGATCCATAAAGGAATTAACCAGAGAGAAACTTGAAAACACTAAAAATAAAGTTCCAAGTTAGTACTTTTTACAAAAACAGAAGAATATGTGTTCTTCCTACATTCACCAGAAACATCTAAACATAAACTCAGATTCAATTCATATTTATTTTTCTAGTAAAAGTACCTTTTGATTTTGATAACAGTTTTCCTTTACACGATTTTCCTTTTGTATATTTGTGATTTTGATCCTTTTAATAATAATAATAATAATAATTTCAATTTATATAGCGCCTTTCACGAAATCCAAGGACTCTTTACAATGGGAAGTAACAAAACAAAACAAAAAGTAATAATAATCATAGATACATAGGCTGCAGAAAAAACAAAACATTTTAAATGTACCACTTAAATCTAAAGTGTTTTGCTCGTCATCCCCTCTCTCCTGATGCCCTGGGTAAATGTGAATATGTGCAATAAAGAACTTAACCACAAAGAAACTTGAAAAATAAAAGATTTTACTTCGAATTTCCAAGATTTAATTCGCACTTTCTGCGATTTGTATATTTGATAATTGCGTTAAAATTCGAATGAATTGTTCAGCCCTACGATAAAGCATTATTATTATATTCCCAGCAGAAGGATTACACATTTCAGATCAAATCAAATACTCTCCAGTCCGAAAACACCCGAAATAAAGTTAGAAGTTTTTTAACTTTTTAAGATAAAAGTTAAAGAAGATATTTTACGAGTTTATAAAGTCCTAAAATTGCAATAGAGAAAATAATATTAAAGGAGAAAACCCTCAATATTTCCCTCAGATTACAAACTCCTACATTTACCAGAAATAAACTCAGATTAAATTCATATTTCTTTCAGGTAAAAGTACCGTTTGATTTTGGTAACAGTTTCCCTTTAGACGTTTTCTTTCCTACATGTGATTTTGTTTCTCGTAAATGAGCCGCCTCGTTGTTCCCTCTCTCTGCGGACCCGTGACTTCCCTCAGCCCTGGATAACAGAATGTTTCTTATGTGTTTCCTAAAGCTCGGACCCTGACCTGCAGAAGCTGGTGTTCTGCAGCGGAGCGGTGCTTCACAGAGCTCAGTGCGTCCGGGGCTTCGGGGACTGGATCGACTCCATTTTAGAGTTCTCTCAGAGCCTTCATCGCATGAAGCTCGACGTTTCCTCCTTCTCCTGCCTCACTGCGCTCGTCATCATCGCTGGTAAGAGCTGTTTCTAACTATTTAGTTTATCAATCAAATCAAGACAAATTCATCCCTCTCCCAGTCACTGTCATACCACCTCACCCTTCCTCTGATACAGGATTCACGCGAAGCCACTATCAAATTAACATTTACCAAACAGGGTGTTTTTATTTCTTAACTCGGGCCCTGCGAAAAAATCACTTCACCTCAGCCACATCATAGACTATGCATTACATGAATGCACAATATCTGTTTTCTTTTTTTATTAGGGATGTCCCGATCCCCTTTTTTTGCTCCCGATCCGATTCCGATCATTTGATTTTGACAATTAGCCGATACCGATTTTTCCCGATCCGATCTTTATGCAATGCATTAAGAGAAAAAAAAGCATTCAAGTTGTCCCTTAAGGTTATTTTTTAATTTAAATTGGATATTCTATCCAACATGGATATAGCTTCTTTCTTTCACAGCAGCATTGGATCAGTTCAGTTGTGCAGCATTGGATCAAAACAAAATAAAGCTTATCAGTACTCGTTAGCTTACTGCTACAATTAGACACTGCGCCCACTCTGTTGCCAGAGAGAGAAATAAGCAGGTCTATGAAAACAAGCCCCAAAGAAGCAACACATACATGATGTTCTGTCATTTGAAACCAAAACTAAGGCCTCAGGATGACTTTAAGACTTGAACATGGTCATTTTTGTTTGTAACATTGAATACAAAATTTTAAAAAAGTATTTATAAAAAATAAAAAATCCCGATCCCCGATTTTTTTCTCCCGATTCCGATCTTTTGAAAATCACGTGATCGGCTCCGATCCCCGATCACGTGATCGGATCGGGACATCTCCAAAGTTAAGATGGAACTTTATTTATCTCCGTGGGGAAATTCAGGCGAAGTAAAAAATAAAGATAAAATAGAATAAAAATGTAAGTAATAATGCAAAAAGTAAAGTGATAACTCTTGAAAAAATATATCACGTTAAAAGTGGGTCATTTAATGCCATATTTTATTTTGCAGGACAAAATGTTTTAATATCTTAAGGTTTTGTTTGGAGTCATCGAACCAAAAAGCCATTCAAAAAGCCATTGACTTCAAGGCGAGTTAACGGGAAGTGGTAACAAAGCTAACTTCAGACTCAATCCTGAAGCACTCTATTGGTTCTGAACTCAAAATATCTCATTAGAAAGTATCCATAGCATCCACACAAAGTATTACGGCCCGTCCACACACAGGCATGAAAAAAAATCTTGAAAAATCTTGATGCTGGGCGTGTCCGAAGCTTGGCGATTTTTTAGGAGCAATGCGACCAACAACCAATCACATGAATCTCCCCTTCCCCCGACATACAAAGCAATAGCAATGTTAAAACGAAGTAAACTGGATATAAAATCCCCAAACAGGCGAAAACCTACCAGTTTCACCCACTGTCTCTGCCACCTCCCTCCATGCCTGGTTCCTCCGGTTTGTATCCCGGTAAATAGTTCTGGTCGTAAAAGAACCGGGTGATTTGCTACCGTAATATCTCGTTTGGAATATGAGGGAAATGAACTGCGGTCGGCTTCTCCCAGCTTGGCACGCGGTTGATTGGCTAGCGCTTGTACTGG